GGTTGGGGACCAGTGGTCTACACCATAATCTGTTCTTACGATTTTTACGTTTAATTTTGTCATCTTCTATTGCATAAGCAGCTGCCGTGACAACTGTAATTAAGGCAGTACTCAAAATTTCCAATTCTTTCGTTTCACTTTTAATATAATCGTTTTTACAATAGTTAGCCATCATATTATGGTGGAGCGTGGTCACGTGGTTTTCACGTGGAAGTTGCCTTGATAAACAGTAATATAAAAATTTACACCGTAGTCTATGTAAACACACCATCGGTTGACGAACTTATATTTAGTGTTGGTTCACGTGATATAGAGTTTGCGTAATAATGCTAATATAACTTGCATACCATAACAATTTGATCAGATCATGATTTGAAAGTTGTGAAAAGGCTTCATACACAGATTGCATCAAATGTTTGAAGGAAAATTTGATAGTGTGAACCAACGCTTAAAATCACTTTAGTGCCAAGTGAATCCAATATACTGAGATAATATACACTTATTATTATTATTATTATAACATAAACAAGGACAACTCTTCTGTCTGTTAGGATTTCTTTTGGAAAAAATTATCATGATGCGACAATGTGAATGAATTATATATTTCTATAACCTGAATTATCTATTTATGACTGTATATCAGATGAGCTCTAACTTTTTGATAGTTTAATCATTTTTTAAAATCTTTTAATGTAAAGCTTAAACTGTCCTGGTTAAGGGTCGTTCGCAAATAAAAAATTATTCAATTAATTTTAAAAAAACATTAATTTGAGGTCAAAATTGCCTCAGGCATTATAGGTACCGTGAAATTCAGTCGCGCACACCTTCTGCGTATATCGAAAATGACGAAAAACCTGTTGTGTCCCTGTTTACATTCGGCTCGTGGATGACTTCTTTGTTTTGCAGTTTACGTCACAGTTTTCTAATAATACAACATCTTCTTCCATCATCTAAAAATGTTAAAAATCAAATAAAGTATTCCTTAAGTTATGAACATTTTCTTCATGTTTTGAATAGATTTTTTGGGGGTGAGGGGAGTAGGGTTAGGTAAAGCATTTGTGGTACTTTGTAACCGGGGTGGATGAGGGGGGGGTCTGAAAAGGTCCTTTTTTTGCGTGACTTAATTTACAAGCGACCCGTTACAACTCACAACTAACCAGGACCAATCACCAACGGTCAACTTACCCGACGGAAGTGAACAGTGCGTTACTGTTATAGTTTCATTTGATTTAAAAAAAAAAAATTCACCAAATTGTACTTTAAAAAAAAAAAAAAAAAATCAAAAAACAAAAAAAAACAATGTAAAAAAAAATCATGATTCCAAAGAAAGTTTTGTAAAAAGAAATCTTTTCTTTATTCCTAGAGAAAGAGTAATAACATTTATAACAAAAAACAAAAACGAATCCGCCCCCCCCCCTTTTTTTTAAACCACCGAAGAAACCAACAACAAACAAACAAATAGTGCCACCAGGGATGGTTGCCGCCCCGCCCCCCCCCTCCCCTGGTTCAGAACTGGTTACATTTCATCATATGTTTTAATCACATTCCTTTTACTGATTGAAAAAAAAAGAAATCCTTTCTCCAACAGCAATAAGGAAGCAGACGATAAAAATCTATTATATAGGGCTCGGCGTGATTGTGTGTTTTTGTTTGTTTGTTTGTTTGTAGATGGGTCGATCGATCACAAGAAAACCAAACAATCGAGTTTTTCCGCAACGAATTTTGACATGTTCATTCCTCCTGACCGACATTTGGGTCCCATAAAGTCTGGTCATGGTAACCTTTATCACTGAAGCTGTAATTGAAATGTGGAGGATAAAATAAATAGTAAAAAAAAATAACACGTGTGTTATTTTCATAGTGAATGGTTTCGAGCGACGTTCCAGTTAAGTTATGCTTGGTGCACACATTTTTTACTAAGCCTCTTTTGTCAGAACGGCGAGCTTTCAAACATCTATTAAATTAAGGTTTTCGGTGTGCATTTGTTTGGTGCACACATTGTAAATACAAGCTTTATGCTATGTGCCTTCGAAAACATATTTCAAATAAGTTTTTTAAATAAAAAAATATCAGCTGTTTAATGGATTCGGGCTCGTAAAAAGATAAAGGAATACGTGCTGTGCCACTACATTGCCTTCTGTAATCTGGGTTAACACTTGAATAGACTTATCACACAGTTCAGGGGCTTGTCATAAGTGTGCTCTGTCATAACTAGGGTCTTACAGTCATAGGGGTTCCTTTATATTTTTAAAACCATCTTTATGTAGTAGGTGAGTGTGGGTTGGGGGGGGGAGCATTTCGTAAAACTACGTCGCTGAATAGGTGGGTGTATTTTATGAAATAGTAAAACAAGATCTGTCGCGGCTTGAATCAAAAGACAGAACCATAAGTTGTAAACGTTTCGGCGTTGAGCCTTCGTCAGCGAACAGCACAAATGACAAATACGACACGAAACACATCACAGTAAAATGTTTAAAGAGATTTCCTTTGTTGTTGCCGGAACATTCGTTGTACATTTATTTTACGTTACATGAATTACACAGCAAGCAATCAGACGTATTTAATAATATTGTAAGAATCACAATAAATTTGTCGTGTAACCCAATGTCTTTATCCACCATTGAATAATTTCCATTTACCACAACGAGCCAAACAAAAGGGAACTACCTAAGGGAGCGATGTTTCAAAATATCTACCAGCAGGAAATCACGGGCCCTATAATAATTCTGTTAGAACTATACGTTTTGTTCACGTAGTTCCTGACCCCCAAACCCCCCCCACCCCCCCCCCCCCCCCCCAAAAAAAATATATTTAAATAACAAAAATATACAATGAAATGAAAAAAAAAAAACCCACAAACGACGAAGTGTCAGAGAAATGAAAAGGCCTGAAATGCAGTCCTTAACATGTCATACGTCCGCTTGACAAACCTGAGCGAGGATGTGTCCAGATATTCAGAAACCCGCTTGCCACTGTAGTGGTGCACGATGGCCAGGTCGTTGCTGACCACCGTGTGTGTGGCCGAAGCCACGTGATAGTGCGTGAAGTGGATCCCCGCGAAGAGGACACGTTCCGGCCGGACGATGGTCTTCGTCCGGACCTTGTACTTGAATGTCGAGTTCAGCCTCTGGAGATGAACGAATGGCAGAATGGAGTGGTCGACCAAGAACGTCTCCATTTCCGACGATATGGAAAAATTATGTTTGATGTCCCGCCACACGGATGGACTCGGCGTGCCGGAATGGAGGCTGGACTCAAAAGTGTAGGATCCTAAAGGTTTAATGCTGGTCGCGTTGGCGGAAATTTGTGTCTCGGTATATTCTGCTTCAGCCGCGTCTATCAGCGCCAACCACGAGTTGTGGTGGTTAGGGATGATGAGCTCGTCCGTGTCCTGTATGACGACGAACTGGGACACGAACTTGTTCCTGTAGACGCAGTCGTTGATGGCCAGGTTCTGGCCGTAGTACCAGATCCCCAAGGTGGGCAGCGACCATTGCAGGACGGTGAGGAGGCCGAGTCTCTGGTAGTGACGCAGCACGGCGTCCGTCGTGTTGGAGACGCTGTGGTTGTACACGTAGAAATGCTCGGCGCCGAGGACCTGGTTGTACGCCAGGGACGTGATGAGATGAGTGGGATTCTTGTAGTTGAACAGAGCAGAGTAGCACACTGTGAAGTTTCTGGATCGCTGTCCGGGATAAATCACGGGAACGCGATTGGTCGGTTCGTCCGTGACGTTAAATGTCAAGGACACGTACTCTGGTCGATTAGTGGCCTTTAAAGTACATTCGTAACTGACGGCGATGTAACTGTAAATTCAAAAAAATAAAAAAATAAATAAGGAAACACAAGTCTGAAAATATTAATTGATTTGATTTTTTAGTTTTTGAAATAAAAAAAAAAATTACAAATAGAAAAATATGTTATTTCTGCAAGCATCGGGGTTGCAAACCATCCATAGAAGTGTGTTTTTCACTTATATGTGTAGCAAATAAGGCAGAAATGATTAATTTGCTTGTTTGACATGAAGGGGTTCATTCAACTTGCACTGAATCGTTTTCTCTAAGCGTGTGTATTGTAGTCTTTTTTACTATTTTAGTTAGATTTAAAGAAAAATAAAAACAGGGTACAAAATAACTGTGGAAATTTTAGTTTACTTTTACTTCGTAGATCTGTTAACACACCATCTGAACTGATTCAGTTATTTGAAAGCAACATACAAAAAAAAAAAAAAAAACAAATTATTTAAAAAAAAAAAAAAAAAAAAAAAAAAAAAAAAAAAAAACGCGAAATGACTTTGATTTATTACTTGAAAGGATTCGAAAGGAGACCGTTCTGTACTATAAACATAGAATAGGAGGGAGTTGGGGCGTATTGGTTTAGAAGAGGACGCAGCTTAAGCAAAGTTTATATACGAGATATTCCAAGAAGAGGTTCCAGAAAATGAAGGAATACCTGGCCACAAGGTGCTGCGTATTTCCGTTCGTGCAGGTTGGGGGGGGGGGGGAGTTTGGGAATAACTGATTTACTGTCTTGTAAACCAACTTTACTAAATATACCATGCATAATATTTCCCCCCCCCCTTTTTTTTTTGTTTTAATGTTTTAAAAAACCCACCCCAATCCAAACAAACCCACAAAAAACAAAAAAAATACAAAAAAAACAAAAACAAACAAAAAACAAACAAAAAACAAGAACAAAACAACAAACATCTCATCAAGATGAATATAATGAACTGAACAAATCTGATGGTTATTTGGCCCATTTCCTAAGAGTCCCCCCCCCCCAATCCTATATCAAAACCTGGTTAAGTCACTGATTAAAATTTGTAAAAATAATTTGGTTTGGCAGGAAAGGATAGAAAAAAAATTCAGGCAGTTATTGAATCTGTTACTTTAAAAAAAGGATCTTCTGAAATTTTACATTGGGCCCGAGCACATATTAGATAACGTGAAGGGCGGGCAGTGGTGGTTGATCATATTGTTATACTATGATACATGGGGTGGGGTGGTTGGTAAAAAATTAATGTTACATAACAATTTCTTTTATTTTAAACAATAATTAATGCTCAGTTTTGCAAAAAAATGTATGCTTTTTAAATGTACGCAATTAGCCTAGATTGTTACAAAATGATATCTAGTTTTTCCTTACAATACCTTGCACATTGTTTGTTAAAAAAATTTTTTTTGGCATTTTGTTAGAACTTTGTTTGTATTGGCATGAATTTCATGTATGTGTGTGTGTGTGTGTGGGGGGGGGGTTCTAGTAATGTTGTAATCATATTGTTTGGGTGGGGGCGGCTGGTTAATCAAAATGTTTTATAGCATTATAAGGGTTATGGGGTGTGTAAAAATGTCATATTTTTATGTTATATAGTATCTACACCACCCCTGACTAATATTGGTTAGTGCTTGGCAGAGCAGGGATTATGGCGAAAAATGGCCGTTTAAGTTATGTCATATGAAATACGGGTGTTGTGTTAAACAGCGGGATGATAAAACAACAACAACAGCAGGACGCACCTGCGTCCATGGGGATCAGGTAACGGCCGTCTTCGTCCAGTTAAAATAGTTACAGAGCCCCGTTCGGTCACGTGACAGTAAATCGTTCCCTTAGTTGTGTTAATACTCTCCATGCCAAATGTTTGAAGAAGGAAGTGCTTGTCGTGAAGTGGGTCGTAGAAGCTCGAGTAAATCCATGCGTCGTGCGTGTTGATTGGTTGAAACGTGTCGAGTGCATTTTCATTGGCTCGCTGGGCTCTTGGATGATTCGACCGGACAATACTCTTCCCTTCTGGTGGGGTTCTGTCTTTTTGTTGTTTGCTAGTCGCTTTAACACCAATATCTTTATTTACAGGCGGTTTTCTTTTTGAAACTTCCCTGTCAGAAAAAAACCCAAATTTAAAAAAAATAAATAATGCTCAATATTTGTGTAATGTCTATCACCGGCAAATCAATACTAACAATTTTGTTTTTAGTTTTATTAATTGCAAAATTTATTTATTCCAGGTTAAGATTCCTAAATCCTTTACGAATCTCTTATCCCACTTTAAGATTCCTAGAGTCCTCGCGTTTCCCTGATCCTAGGTTAATCTCCTAAAGCCCAATTCTTGACCTGATCCTAGGTTAAGATCATCAATTTAAATTGTTTCCCTAACCCTAGGTTAAGATCCTAAAGGCCCATTGTTTCCCTGATCCTAGGTTAAGATCCTAAAGGCCCATTTTTTTCCACTGATCCTAGGTTAAGATCCTAAAGGCCCATTGTTTCCCTGATCCTAATGTAAGATCCTAAAGGCCAAATGTTTCCCTGAACCCATATGGCTATCCCAAAAACTCGTAACTTACCTTGGTTTTAATGCTGGAGTTGTATGTGTCCTTCTTTGAACAAGCTCGCCCTGTGGCTGGATGTTGAGTGAAAATGTGTCTCCAACCTCAGTATTGAAAGGTATCGTGTCTTGAGATGGCACCTTCGAAAGTCTCCTGGTTTTCGGCAGGTATCTGAGCAGGCCATTTGGATGGAAGACCTGCGTCAGCATAAAAATCACCGCCACACACCCAAACGCCAGCAGGAAGATGTACTTGGCTTTCACGTTTCTTCTCGTGATCACGTAGCTAAATCGTGACCTTCGACAGGACGCCATTATGGGGTGATCTTGCTTTAGGAAATGAAATATATATAATCATCATCAACGTTTCCCACACGTATTATTTATTTATTTATGTCAATCAAATAACATTTCATTATTTATGGAGAGATGTTCAATGATATGCGTTGATGAGTAAAAAAAGGGGGGGGGGTGTTCAGGTGTTCGTTGTTGAGGGTAGGATGTTGAAAGGTGTTAATCCCATTCTATTAAACAAACTGGTTTGCTTGCCCAAGATCGTATTCAATGCCTAGCAATTTCAACTGTTCAGACGAACAAACTCAACACCGAAAGTGCTAGAACACTTCCAGCTGTTCAGACGAACAGACTCAACACCCACAGTGCTAGAACACTTCCAACTGTTCAGACGAACAGACCCAACACCGAAAGTGCTAGAACACTTCCAACTGTTCAGACAAACAGACTCAACACCGAAAGTGCTAGAACACTTCCAACTGTTTAGACGAATAGACTCAACACTGAAAGTGCTAGAACACTTCCAACTGTTCAGACGAACAGACCCAACACCGAAAGTGCTAGAACACTTCCAACTGTTCAAACGAACAGACCCAACACTGAAAGTGCTAGAACACTTCCAACTGTTCAGACGAACAGACCCAACACCGAAAGTGCTAGAACACTTCCAACTGTTCAGACGAACAGACCCAACACCGAAAGTGCTAGAACACTTCCAACTGTTCAGACGAACAGACCCAACACCGAAAGTGCTAGAACACTTCTAACTGTTCAGACGAACAGACTCAACACCGAAAGTGCTAGAACACTTCCAACTGTTTAGACGAATAGACTCAACACCGAAAGTGCTAGAACACTTCCAACTTTTCAGATGAACAGACCCAACACCGAAAGTGGTAGTGTCACACCATCACACCGAAAACAAGTCTTTTTTGTTTTGTTTTGCGTACAGAACGAGAGATTAAACAATGCTCTAAGCACTTTCTCCAATTTTTGAGTTCTCCATACCAATCTCCAAATGTTGTATCAGTACATCATTCGGATACAACACCTGTAACTCTGGGACATCAAAGCACTCCCTCCCTACATCCCAATGACTCATCAAATAAATGGGTGCATTTTTTCTTTTGTTATATTCCTAGCTTCTGGACCTTACAAAAATGTTTCCTTGTACTTGGACGTACCCTTGGAAATATTTTAGGAACCACCAGGAGTCTCCTTTTAAAAAAAAACACATACACCATACAATGAATTGTTTTTAATGGGCAAACATGTCCAAAGTTTCATTTGAATTGGAAACCAGGAAGTGGGTCAAAGTTGATGTAATCAGATTTTACCCAGACAAAATGACAAAATCGCAAGCTAGAGCAAAGGGAAATTATAAATCGCCGGTGAGCTGAAGCACGTTATCGCTTTCAACAAATTATTACTGGCAGGCAACTCGTATAGTTTGGAGATTTACAATAACAAACACAACTAAATAGAATCTTTAAAAAAAAAATGCTTATTTGTTTTAAAGTATAAAATCCATACGGGTTGGCAATGACGTAGCTAGGGTTAGTGCCAAAGGGGTGTGCCGAAAATTTCGCGAAACCCGTTCACGAAAAAAAAAACCCACTGCAGTTTGCTGAAAATGCCAACCCGCCCTATCAAGAAAAAGTGCTGCCTGGGGAATAAAGCCCCCCCCCACCCCCTCTCTCCATCCGCATCACTTCCTATGCCTCTCTGCGTTAGGCCCCGATAATAATAAGGAAAAAAAAAAAAACTAACCCTAAATGTAAAAAATAGTATTTCATAAGTGCTGCCTGGGGAATAAAGCCCCCCCCCCCCCCCTCTCTCCATCCGCATCACTTCCTATGCCTCTCTGCGTTAGGCCCCGATAATAATAAGGAAAAAAAAAAAAACTAACCCTAAATGTAAAAAGTAGTATTTCATGTGTAACGTGGTGATGTCTATACTGAACTTCTTTAGTTACTTATCATTTGCATCTGTCTATGTGCATCCAGCGTTGCAGTGGAGATTTTGTGCTCTCTAACAATTATTACGATCATTATTGAAAGCATGAAGCAAATTCGATTTGGTTACATCAATATATTTTATTCACACAATACGTTTCACAAATATGAGAAATAAATCTCCAGTCTGGAGTAAACATAATTGTCAGAATCTTATGTACACTTCACGCATTACATACTACACGTGAAAGGACGATAGATAGTTCGAGGCAATGGCATATTTCTTTGCAAGCGCAGCAACATTGAGGAATTCAATTTTACCATTCTTGACCATATTAAAAAAAATCACTTCCTCTCCTTCTCCTGCGCATGATATTTCAATCTCAAACTTATGTTAATACTAAATTACAATTTATTATTGTAGTAATTGCGCGGTTACATTATGTATTTAAAAAAATCAGTATTGATTTAATAGATACGCTACATTTACGATGCCTTAATTGTCATACATATTTACAACAAACCAACATACTATGCGTGCCTCGGGATTGAATTTGGAAAAAAGCAACTTCTATAGACTTTTAGCTTACATCGAAAGTAAGGGGCCTGTAAAAAAAAAAACACACATCGCTACGAAAATAAAACAATTTTAAATTTCATCCTCTAAAAACACATTTATAAAATATCATCCCAAAGGGATTCTATTTCCTGTTAGGATCACCATCCCCAGTGGGATCCCTTCTATTTCGGGATCTCATTCCCCAGAATGGCATCCAGAGCCCGAATCCTATGGGATCCAGATCCCGATTAAATCCTGAACTTGGTGGGATCCCCTTTCCAAATTGGATCCCATGACCCGATGGGATCCCGATGCCAATGGGATCAAAACCCCATAAGACCCAGATGGGATCTCGATTTCCCGATGGGATCCCTTGAATTAACATAAATAATGTATTTTAAAATATAAAAAAATGTTCCCAGTAAAATCAGTTTAAAAATTCCACAGATCTAGCATTTTACATTATAAAGCTTTCTGGGAAATTCTAGACCGGCCCGAATGGATGGGATGTTATTACTTTGAAATCCAACGATATTTCAAAACAGACTGTGAAGGTTATTGCTACCAAGCGGGGCCTAGATCCATCACTTCACTTAGAGGCTAAGGTTTTCTCTGAGCCAATCAGTTTTTTTTTAAAAAATGTAGCTTATTAAAAGAAAAAGAAATTTAAATGTCTCCCACCCCCGTCACAGAGGAGTGAACGTCATGTCATGAGTTCAGAACCCTTCGGCATTTTAACATTGGTAATCAAGTGTATGTATACTTTGTTTGGTCTTGATACACCCATTCAAGCAGGAGCATTTGTTGATACATTTACTTATATAGCTCACATTAATACATATAAATATAAAATAATTCCAGGGCCCCAGGCCATAAACGAAATATTTTTTAAAGTTAAAAAAAAAAACCAACAGTATTTCATTATGAATAATGATGGATATTAGAGACCAACCACATTTCGGTTTCGGCTTTGGTTTCAGTGCAGCAAGTTGTCATTTGATCACTTTCGGCCTAGTTTCGGTTCGGCCAAAAACAGAACAGTTAACGTTCGGTTATTTCGGTTTCGGCCGAAAGTGATTGAGTTTTCTGTAATTGACCAGAAGTCAGAACGTCCGTCTCTAGGCCGGCAATCCGATATTCCTCCTTGCTCGACGTCATGCTGTCATCGTATGTTATATAACTAATTCTCTGCGAAAACTGCTCACAGCTGCATGATGACCTACGTGTCCTTTGTGTCCAAAAATTAAATTTCAATTAAGCCTAGTCAAATGTAAATAGTATTGTGGAAGAAAAACTAATGAATGCTAATATTTATATCATTATTTTTGTTTTAATTTTTAAAAAAATAAAATAAAATTTTGAACCCTAGGTATATTCAACTCAATCATTTATGATATTAATTTTGATATATCTTAATCATGCTCATGTTGTCATAGGCAAAGGTGAATAGTATTGAATAATCCTAGGGAATGGTCATATTTCCATCATTAGTTTTGTTTTATTAAAATAGATAATATAAAATTAAGCAAACTTTGGCTTTTTCAAATCATTCATTTATTGAAATTAATCATGATCATGCTGAGAAACAGTGTTGTTGACGCGTGCATGTATAACTGGTTCATATAATACTTATGTATTAGGCTTACCGCAGACCTGTTCACTTTTATAATATTGGCGACCAATTCAGATGTCTTTTCAAGATTCTCCGTCGATACCCGTCAGAACAACAATTTTAAGAGACCCGGTTACAAATATTCGTCTCCCCCCCCCCCAACCAATTGAGGCATGTCGGTCGCTGAACGAAATAATTACGTCACCAGCACGGAAAGCCTAATGTGTGTTGATACTAGGCTAAATATTAATACAGTGCTAACTTGCCAGCTATTTATGAAAACACAAAGCATTAGTGTGACGATAACTTCGAAACACTTTGGTAATATTTGCATAGCTTTAATAACTGATATTTAGGTGACAATTGGCTCTACTAGAGCCATCATAATTATTGTAGATATATATCTCGGTAGCGTTGTCATTATATTATAAAAGCAAAGGGCATTCAATGGTCTATTTTGCATACATTTACCCCCCCCCCCGCTTCCTGTCCAAATTTTCTCTTGGCTCTACTAGAGCCATCATAAGTATTGTAAATATATATCTCGGTAGCGTTGTCATTATATTATAAAAGCAAAGGGCATTCAATGGTCTATTTTGCATACATTTCCCCCCCCCCCCCGCTTCCTGTCCAAATTTTCTCTTACCATACTACTTTAAAATAACTTTTAAAGTAATTTAAATTCTTTAAAATTAAAATGGTAAAGGCCAAAGTATTCAGTAGATGTTTATTTATTAATATTCAACATGATCTCATTTCCTCTGAAAGGAATGTAAATATTGATACTTTCCCCCAATCATTTTCCGATTTATGGAGATGTATGAATGAACGAATTTCAAAATATCTAAATATGTCGTCTTCGGTTCGGGTTGAAAGTCTGAATAAACTTTTGGTTTCCGATTCGGTTTTGGTCGAAGGTTTCGTTAAACTTTTGGTTTCGGCCGAAAGTCATTTTTAAATTTGGGCTTAGTTTCGGTTTCGGCCGAAATCAGAAAATCACTTTCAGTCGGACTCTAGTGTGCACATAGGATGAAACTTTATTTTTAAATGCGTGCACTGAGCAAAAGGGCACCGACAAGGTTCCTGTAAAAGATGTTAGAAAGTGCACCGTTCTGAATGAAGGCTTTTTTAAAATGCGCTCACCAAAATTAACTTGAATGCCCATCGGAGCCAGTTACCAAACCCACCACTTCAAGAGTCGTGTTCGTTACTTTTACTCCGATGTAATCATCTGGATAGAACACATAGTTTGGTGTTGAAGACATACAAAATTCAAACGAAATCATTAAGGGCAAAAACCCCAAACGCTTAAGTCTTTCGAACTGCCTGCATATTTCTGGTTGTTTCTTCAGTTCCTAGTGTCGTCTGTTGAAGCAGGCTCTTGGCCGAAACGTTGTCGTGTTTACTGTCATTTGTTTATATAGATATCAAGCTTCCACATACCTTGTTAGATATCAAGCTTCTACATACCTTGTTAGATATCAAGCTTCCACGTACCTTGTTAGATTATCAAGCTTCCACATACCTTATTAGATATCAAGCTTCCACATACCTTGTTAGATATCAAGCTTCCACATACCTTGTTAGATATCAAGCGTCCACAAACCTTGTTAGATTATCAAGCTTCCACATACCTTGTTAGATATCAAGCTTCCACATACCTTGTTAGATATCAAGCGTCCACATACCTTGTTAGATATCAAGCGTCCACATACCTTGTTGCGCTATTTCCTTCGCTGCTTCACCTTATGTCGTCCATGACGAACAATTCATCTGCGGCGGGGCAACACGCCTATCTCTACTACGGGCAATAACATTACATTCCCCCCTTGATGAAATTGACCATGTAGACACCTTGAATCACCACCACAGATGAGGTTTTGAAACAATGCATAGACATTTTTTTTTAATAAGGTGATCCGTCCGTCTGTGATTTAATACGATAAAGATAGTTTGAACTCAATCGATTGAAATAGAACATACAAATTATCTTGAGAGAACAAAAAATCTGACGGGTAAGGTAAGCGCGTAGGAGTAGTCGATTCGCAATTGTTTCTAGGCAAGCGCGTGTCAAATCATATCTTCAGAAATTTGAAACAGAGAAGAAAAAAAAAAAAGAATCGATTCCAGGTTCGCGCACTCGATATTCTTACAACGTTTAGGGCAGTGGATTACACGACACGTGATGGCGACACACAGAGAGATAACACGGCGAATTATCCGGAGTGCAGCGGGACTCAGGTGATGAGAGACGAGTTGTTTCAAATATTTTGTTTGGTTCGAATGGTTCCAAATAATGGGAAAGGGCCTCAATTTTGAGTTATATCATATAGGGGTTAATCGTGAAATGTTCAAGAGGCCCTGGAATGGGAAAAGTTTAAGAGTAGGGGCATTCAGATTAGCCCTCTTTTTCACTTGATAACACCTGAAATCTTCTAAGACAGTGGTTCTCAAACATATTAAGGCTTTCTTGCGTTACAGTTTTTTACAATGTTTTTGAATGCTCGCGTATCCTTTACAATTAACAAAAATACATATAGGTCACTTTTACAATTAACTACAATTAAGACGTAGGTCACTGTTACACTTAACAACAATGAACATTTAGGTCACTGTTACAATTAACTAAAATAAACATAAAGGTCACTGTTACAATTAACTACAATAAACATAAAGGTCACTGTTACAATTAACTACAATTAACATAAAGGTCACTGTTAGAAATAACTAAAATAAACATAAAGGTCATTGTTAGAATTAACTAAAATAAACATAAAGGTCACTGTTACAATTAACTACAATTAACATAAAGGTCACTGTTAGAAATAACTAAAATAAACATAAAGGTCACTGTTAGAATTAACTAAAATAAACATAAAGGTCACTGTTACAATTAACTACAATAAACATAAAGGTCACTGTTAGAAATAACTAAAATAAACATAAAGGTCACTGTTAGAATTAACTAAAATAAACATAAAGGTCACTGTTACAATTAACTACAATTAACATAAAGGTCACTGTTAGAAATAACTAAAATAAACATAAAGGTCACTGTTAGAATTAACTAAAATAAACATAAAGGTCACTGTTACAATTAACTACAATAAACATAAAGGTCACTGTTAGAAATAACTAAAATAAACATAAAGGTCACTGTTAGAATTAACTAAAATAAACATAAAGGTCTCTGTTACAATTAACTAAAATAAACATAAAGGTCTCTGTTACAACTAACTACAATTAACATAAAGGTCTCTGTTACAATTAACTAAAATAAACATAAAGGTCTCTGTTACAATTAACTACAATTAACATAAAGGTCTATGTTACAATTAACTACAATTAACATACAGGTCACTGTTACCATAACATTTTTAACAAAACATTGTTTAATCAGAAAATGAAAAAAACATAGTCATAAATTGTACACTTAGTAGGACTGGGACATAGCAACCAGAGGCAACACTCGTAAATAGCCCCAAATGTGTATCCAGGTGACGCCTTTACAGTCCGCCTAAAAGCCGCGGACCCCAGTCTGAGAAGCACTGCTCTGAGAAGTATTCGAGCACGTATCCGCCAGCTAGCTTTAACGATGCGTGATATCCCACTCCTTGCATGGTATAGACATAATGGGAGACTTGGGGGAGGGGGGGCGGGGGGGGGTTGTCGGGGGGGGAGGCTGTGGGGGGGTGTCGGGTGGGTGGTGGGGGTGGTTTGCATGGTATAGACATAATGGGAGACTTGGGGGAGGGGGGGCGGGGGGGGGTTGTCGGGGGGGGAGGTTGTCGGGGGGTGTCGGGTGGGTGGTGGGGGTGGTGTATTACCTGACAATGCCGAATATTAATTTTGTATTTACAAATACCCGTCTATCTCTCCATGGTACAACTGACAGTTTGAAATACCCCGTCTAACTCTCCATGGTACAACTGACAGTTTGAAATAACCCCGTCTAACTCTCGCTGGTACAGCTGACAGTTTAGAATACTCCGTCTAACTCTCCATGGTACAATTGACAGTTTGAAATACCCCGTCTAACTCTCCATGGTACAACTGACAGTTTGAAATACCCCGTCTAACTCTCCATGGCACAACTGACAGTTTAAAATACCCCGTCTAACTCTCCATGGCACAACTGACAGTTTTAAATACCCCGTCTAACTCTCCCTGGCACAACTGACAGTTTAAAATACCCCGTCTAACTCTCCATGGCACAACTGACAGTTTTAAATACCCCGTCTAACTCTCCATGGCACAACTGACAGTTTGAGAATATGTTATCAAAAGGGTCCTTTTAAAATCAGACCAATATGAAATTTTGGTAGAGAGAAGATTAAAGTTTAAGAAGAGCAGTGACGTAGCTAGGGGGGGGGCGGGGCGAACAGACAAGGTGACACTATCTCATGGGTGACACTAAATTAAAAAATTGCATCTTTACAGGCACACACTGCTCGGTGTCACAGAACTTCATAAAAGGATAACTGATCACACGTAAATTTTCTATACATGTAACCAATCCAAATGCGTGCTTTATTAAAAGTACAAGGTTGATGCATCAGAAATAAAGTGACCCTATAAAAACACCATTTTTACCATGATTCAACGCCGATTGAAGTGATCGATAACTTTTGATAGGAAGCGATATATATCTAAATTGTAAGCTTTCAATTGATACCCAATACGATGTGGTCGGGACAATTCTAAGAACAAGAATCGAATAGGTAAAAATAAATTTAAAAAATTTAAAAATAAATATTTTACAATATCATCATATAATAATCAATTTCAATCTATTTAAATTTGATAAAAAGGTTTCTCAACCAAATATATCTAAACCCAGACATACTATATACCTTAGCGTTGTTAGATTTCTTTAATACATTTACCTTCTGACCTTCAATTAATTTATTTTTGTCATATTTATACAGTGGAATTATTTTAGACGAAGAAATCCAGGGTGGGAGTCGAGAGGGTGAGGACACCAACCATGTATACGCCACTGCAAACAAACTCAAAGACTTTCATAGGTGGCGCTATCATGTTCAGTGTACTCAAAGCAAATGTCCTTTTATTTGTACTTTAAAATCATATTATATTATCTTGTCTTATTATCTTATTTTCTCGTTCTTATCTTATCATCTTATCTTATCCTCTTATCTTATCTCATCTTATCTAAACCTTTCATAAAGTCTACTTTAAAATTGATTACCACACAATAGGTTCAAGTTAATGGCGTTGGGCTGCACTGAGATCTTCTTAGTCAGGCCCGAGGCCAGGCTGACTACAATCAAAGAAGCGGTTAGAGCAGTGGTTCTCAGTGGGGTTGGAACAACCACTTACACAGGGGTCACCGAAGACCATTGGAAAACATATGTTTATTGAGTAGCAACGAAAATAAGTTTATGGTTGGGGGGTCACCACAACATAAGGAACTGTATGAAAGGGTCGCGGCATTAGGAAGGTTGAGAAACACTGCGTTAGAGCCTCTTACCAAGGTTTCAATTTTTAGACATGAATTTCTAGGTTTTTTAGGTGAGAGAGAATTAGATCTGCTCTAATTGTAATAGCAGGGAAGCCATCTGTTGTGATTGTGATAGCAGGGAAAGACTTTTATTTTTCAATTTTAAAATGCGCTGTTACTTTTGTATCAGGGGGAAGAGGGCAGGACTGAGTCGGGCAGAACGAGCCATGGCGGGTGCGAGACTTAGTTAACAAATAGCCGTAGGCGAGCAGACTATACAGAATGTTGGGCAAACAGTTGCCAACAAAGATCCGGAGTCGTGCTATGGATTACCGTAAGCCTTCTTGATGCAGCAAACAAAAGCAATAATAAAGTTGTTTTGCATTAAATACATGTTAAATCTTAAGGTTTATAAATCGATAAACCGCTTCCGGGGAATAGGGTAGGAGGGAAGGGGGAAGCCACCATGCAAATAATTGTCGTTTCGGGGGGGGGGGGGGGGGAAAAGAACCGGGGGGGGGGAGAAAAGCACCAGGGGGGGGGCCAAAATCGTTGAGTGTCTAAATATTACTCTAGTCCTTTATGTACGAGTGTAAGATCTACAGGTGTGGGGGAATTATTCTTCTTTATGGGGTGAAATTTACTGGCTCCCAGCTACCGGATAGTGGCGGACATAAAAGAAGAAGATGATGAATGGGAGAAGAAGATGATAAAGGGTAGAAGAAGGTGTTGAAGGGTAGAAGAATATGATGAAGGGCAGAACAGGACGATGAAGGGTAGAAGAAGATGATGAAAGGTAGAAGAAGATGATGAAGTGAGGAAGAAGATTTTAAAGGGTAGAAGAAGCTGTTGAATGGTAGAAGAAGATGATGAAGGTTAGAAGAAGATGATGAAGGGTATAAGAAGATGATGAAGGGTAGAAGAATATGATGAAGGGTAGAAGAAGATGATGAAGGGTAGAAGAAGATGATGAAGGGTAGAAGAAGATGATGAAGGGTAGAAGAATATGATGAAGGGTAGAAGAAGATGATGAAGTGTAGAAGAAGATGATGAAGGGTAGAAGAAGATGGTGAATGGTAGAAGAAGATGATGAAGGTTAGAAGAAGATGATGAAGACTATAAGAAGATGTCTAAGGGTAGAAGAAGATGATGAAGGGTAGAAGAAGATGATGAAGGGTAGAAAAAGATCATGAAGGGTAGAAGAAGATGTTGAAGGAAAGAAGAATCTGTTGAATGGTGGAAGGAGATGATGAAGGGTAGAAGAAATTGATGAAGGGTAAGAAAAGATGATGAAGGGTAAAAGAAGAGGAAGGATTGATTTATAACTTTTGTACAGTTACATTTCATCTCGCTTTAATACACTTCCTCAAGTTGTGGCGACCCCCAACCACAAAGTTATTTTAGTTGCTGCTTTACTTAAACTTTAGGCGATACGAGCTCTCCGATGGTCTTTCGCGATCTCCGTGAAAGGGTCATTTGACCCCTAAAGGGGTCACGACCCCCATGTTGAGAACCGCTGATATAGAGTGCGCACGCACACACACATTACCACTTCACTTGGGTTAGTCAGGACGTGATCTTGCAGCGTGATAACAAGCTCCATTTTGATCTTAAAAAAAAAAAAAAAAAAAAAAAGGAAATGTTTGCTTTTTTGCATTTGGTTTTTTAAAGTTTTAAATTAAAAAATTAAAAAAAAAATTGTTTTCTCTAGTTATCAAAAAAAAAAAAAAAGAAAAGATAACACGCCATGGGGCTCGGCTTTTCTAGCGGTATGGAGTAACGTAATGGTATATTTGAACTAATCTA